ATCAAAAGAAACACACCTGTGGTTATCAAATCTGATCGGAAAATATTTAGCCCGAATATGCTTTCATTAAAATGATAATTTTAGTTCTTGTTTCAGGCAAGTCCTCTCTGTCAAACACTTGATGCTTGATGCCAAACGAAATTTCATCTCAAAACGCGTAATATAATGATACGTGAATATTACATCCTGAAAACGTTTTCATTAAAAGATACTATAGTAGATTCTAGCAAACATAATTTATGCTACTTGTGACAATTATTGGACTTGCGTGATTCTTTCATTTCTATGAAAACGAGCGACCTGATTATTATTGCAGAACCCACCAGAATTATTTCGGGTTATTTGCAAATAAAATCAAACAAAATAAGTCCAGCTCAAGCTTTTTCGCGAGAGTTAAAGGTCATGTTACACTGCGAGTGGGGCAGCAATTCACGCGCGGCGCGTGTGTATATGCTCAACCCATTACTCGGCGCGGGAATTGTCAATCGAAACTCTTTGTAACGGGATCGGCGCGGCCTGGAATGTGAAGGAACGTCCTGGCGCGTTCTTTCCCGAACATCGTCAGTAAATATCAAAAGAAACACACCTGTGGTTATCAAATCTGATCGGAAAATATTTAGCCCGAATATGCTTTCATTAAAATGATAATTTTAGTTCTTGTTTCAGGCAAGTCCTCTCTGTCAAACACTTGATGCTTGATGCCAAACGAAATTTCATCTCAAAACGCGTAATATAATGATACGTGAATATTACATCCTGAAAACGTTTTCATTAAAAGATACTATAGTAGATTCTAGCAAACATAATTTATGCTACTTGTGACAATTATTGGACTTGCGTGATTCTTTCATTTCTATGAAAACGAGCGACCTGATTATTATTGCAGAACCCACCAGAATTATTTCGGGTTATTTGCAAATAAAATCAAACAAAATAAGTCCAGCTCAAGCTTTTTCGCGAGAGTTAAAGGTCATGTTACACTGCGAGTGGGGCAGCAATTCACGCGCGGCGCGTGTGTATATGCTCAACCCATTACTCGGCGCGGGAATTGTCAATCGAAACTCTTTGTAACGGGATCGGCGCGGCCTGGAATGTGAAGGAACGTCCTGGCGCGTTCTTTCCCGAACATCGTCAGTAAATATCAAAAGAAACACACCTGTGGTTATCAAATCTGATCGGAAAATATTTAGCCCGAATATGCTTTCATTAAAATGATAATTTTAGTTCTTGTTTCAGGCAAGTCCTCTCTGTCAAACACTTGATGCTTGATGCCAAACGAAATTTCATCTCAAAACGCGTAATATAATGATACGTGAATATTACATCCTGAAAACGTTTTCATTAAAAGATACTATAGTAGATTCTAGCAAACATAATTTATGCTACTTGTGACAATTATTGGACTTGCGTGATTCTTTCATTTCTATGAAAACGAGCGACCTGATTATTATTGCAGAACCCACCAGAATTATTTCGGGTTATTTGCAAATAAAATCAAACAAAATAAGTCCAGCTCAAGCTTTTTCGCGAGAGTTAAAGGTCATGTTACACTGCGAGTGGGGCAGCAATTCACGCGCGGCGCGTGTGTATATGCTCAACCCATTACTCGGCGCGGGAATTGTCAATCGAAACTCTTTGTAACGGGATCGGCGCGGCCTGGAATGTGAAGGAACGTCCTGGCGCGTTCTTTCCCGAACATCGTCAGTAAATATCAAAAGAAACACACCTGTGGTTATCAAATCTGATCGGAAAATATTTAGCCCGAATATGCTTTCATTAAAATGATAATTTTAGTTCTTGTTTCAGGCAAGTCCTCTCTGTCAAACACTTGATGCTTGATGCCAAACGAAATTTCATCTCAAAACGCGTAATATAATGATACGTGAATATTACATCCTGAAAACGTTTTCATTAAAAGATACTATAGTAGATTCTAGCAAACATAATTTATGCTACTTGTGACAATTATTGGACTTGCGTGATTCTTTCATTTCTATGAAAACGAGCGACCTGATTATTATTGCAGAACCCACCAGAATTATTTCGGGTTATTTGCAAATAAAATCAAACAAAATAAGTCCAGCTCAAGCTTTTTCGCGAGAGTTAAAGGTCATGTTACACTGCGAGTGGGGCAGCAATTCACGCGCGGCGCGTGTGTATATGCTCAACCCATTACTCGGCGCGGGAATTGTCAATCGAAACTCTTTGTAACGGGATCGGCGCGGCCTGGAATGTGAAGGAACGTCCTGGCGCGTTCTTTCCCGAACATCGTCAGTAAATATCAAAAGAAACACACCTGTGGTTATCAAATCTGATCGGAAAATATTTAGCCCGAATATGCTTTCATTAAAATGATAATTTTAGTTCTTGTTTCAGGCAAGTCCTCTCTGTCAAACACTTGATGCTTGATGCCAAACGAAATTTCATCTCAAAACGCGTAATATAATGATACGTGAATATTACATCCTGAAAACGTTTTCATTAAAAGATACTATAGTAGATTCTAGCAAACATAATTTATGCTACTTGTGACAATTATTGGACTTGCGTGATTCTTTCATTTCTATGAAAACGAGCGACCTGATTATTATTGCAGAACCCACCAGAATTATTTCGGGTTATTTGCAAATAAAATCAAACAAAATAAGTCCAGCTCAAGCTTTTTCGCGAGAGTTAAAGGTCATGTTACACTGCGAGTGGGGCAGCAATTCACGCGCGGCGCGTGTGTATATGCTCAACCCATTACTCGGCGCGGGAATTGTCAATCGAAACTCTTTGTAACGGGATCGGCGCGGCCTGGAATGTGAAGGAACGTCCTGGCGCGTTCTTTCCCGAACATCGTCAGTAAATATCAAAAGAAACACACCTGTGGTTATCAAATCTGATCGGAAAATATTTAGCCCGAATATGCTTTCATTAAAATGATAATTTTAGTTCTTGTTTCAGGCAAGTCCTCTCTGTCAAACACTTGATGCTTGATGCCAAACGAAATTTCATCTCAAAACGCGTAATATAATGATACGTGAATATTACATCCTGAAAACGTTTTCATTAAAAGATACTATAGTAGATTCTAGCAAACATAATTTATGCTACTTGTGACAATTATTGGACTTGCGTGATTCTTTCATTTCTATGAAAACGAGCGACCTGATTATTATTGCAGAACCCACCAGAATTATTTCGGGTTATTTGCAAATAAAATCAAACAAAATAAGTCCAGCTCAAGCTTTTTCGCGAGAGTTAAAGGTCATGTTACACTGCGAGTGGGGCAGCAATTCACGCGCGGCGCGTGTGTATATGCTCAACCCATTACTCGGCGCGGGAATTGTCAATCGAAACTCTTTGTAACGGGATCGGCGCGGCCTGGAATGTGAAGGAACGTCCTGGCGCGTTCTTTCCCGAACATCGTCAGTAAATATCAAAAGAAACACACCTGTGGTTATCAAATCTGATCGGAAAATATTTAGCCCGAATATGCTTTCATTAAAATGATAATTTTAGTTCTTGTTTCAGGCAAGTCCTCTCTGTCAAACACTTGATGCTTGATGCCAAACGAAATTTCATCTCAAAACGCGTAATATAATGATACGTGAATATTACATCCTGAAAACGTTTTCATTAAAAGATACTATAGTAGATTCTAGCAAACATAATTTATGCTACTTGTGACAANTTTATCCAGTTTTTATTAATTAAATACCTATTTGCTTAATTTAATTAAAAGCAAAATTTGGAAATCACTATAGTCATTCACGAATTCCATTCCAAAATGAATTTAGTTATGTGATAATTCGAAAAGAAAATGCTGTGTGCAACATGTACGAAATTCTACAATATTCTTTCTACCTATTATATATTTTCTTCAAGAATATTGTTTGCATCACAATCACACAATATTACATAGGTATTTGGTTAATTTCTAAGTGTAATTAACGTGAAAACTAATTTCCACAACGAATGAGCTTTCGTGATTATTTTCATATATGAACGCCACCTGTGGACGAATAGTAAACTGAAACGTTAATAACATTTATAAAAACAATGGGTATTTTTAAATATAGAAAGTTATAGGTCAATATTGACCATGTATTGTTTTAACAATTATCCTAAAATATTTACAGAAAGGTGTTTTTCAGGAAATGAGACTTTTTTAAATTGGTTTATTTGAAGAAAATAGTCAATCCAATATTCATAACTTAAAATAAGTCTTATTTGTGACATTTATCTGATGTTTTTATCATCGTCAATAAAGTAAGAGTAGGGACAAAGCAGTCGCAGTTACAACACGGCCTGGCCATTTAATAGTTTCGTCTTTCGTGTAAAAGCATGTCGTTTGTGTTCTTGTGTATCGATGATTCGGTCGCGTTTGTTATGGGCTAATCGAATGGTTTTTCTTCAAAATTCGGAAATGTAATAACTTACACGATTCCAAGAACTTGGTTATACAAACAATATAAATTCAGTTGCAGGTACGTAATGAGGAAGCAGGTATAATATTAAACATGCGTCATAAACCAGAGTTTTCTATTTCGTCTTGACATGGTTGCAGGATTTATTGAATAACACGTTGATAACATCTGCCTTTTCCGTTTCATACAAATAACATTTAAAATACGTAGTAGATGAATAAAAATTTTGTCATTTAAGTAAAATAAAAGGATTTGAATTCCTTTAAGCACATTATCTACAAACTATATTAAGGATTTTCCGTAATTACAGTGTTGACGAATTACTGCTGCACCACAAAAAATTGTAAATAAGTAATTGTAAAAAATATAACTGCAAAATTTAATTTGCTGAAGTTATTAAACATTATCAATGGAATAATTACATGAATTACATTTTGCTGATGATGTTAGCTAGCCAGCTTTGCTATTTTTTATGCAGCACGAATTTATTTAACACTATAGGTACGAATATTATTTCATAACGCTAATGATAACAAAATGATGTTTTACCTTCTATATCTACATGATTTTTTTGTTTTGTCTTTACAGTGTTACGAACATGATCGTTTACAAGGATAACATCGTCGCATATCAACCAATACGATAGCAGCAAGGATGAAGATCCAGCAAAGGTAGGATTTTGCTATTCTACTAACGTGCCGTATCATATGTTTACCGATTATTGTATTATCAATTTGCAATAACGAACAGTTCGTACTGTATGGTTATAAATTCTAAGTTTATTTGCTTCGGATTACAATTATTTTAGTCACTGATTGTTCTTGTCCCCACCATCACCTTGACAAGCCGGATTAGTAATTAGTAATTCCCCTGGTAATTTTTTCCGCAACAAGGACCTCGTCATCCTTCATATTTTCTCGTGTGCCCCCTATCGGCATCAGCGTTTGACTAAGGTTTTTTCCACGGGATGCTAACAATTCCTTTTGAAATAATTCTCATTTAATTTTAAATTTTTGAATGCTATATAATACGTTTCATTTCCCAAATTAAGAAGAAATTGTTAAAAATGCTCGCGCATAGATTGATACTTAGCTGTTTGTTCATTTTGAATATTTAATAAGATTGATGATCGTAGTTATTTATTTGATTTGATATCGTTTTGTCGCTCTCGCCAAGATGTTAGTGTTATTGTAACGCCATAATCATCATCATAATCATAAAGTCGTCAGGCCTAAGACTGGTTGGCAACACACTATTTGTTTTGTTGAAATTCTTTCAAAAGCGGAAAGCGTATTGAAAACATACCTAAGTAGTATACCTACTCGTACAATACCAATTAAAACCAACACAGAAAATACAAATCATCATATTTTGGTCGAGTTAGTTTAAAAAGTCCCTAATACCAATTTATTCCTTAACCTTCTTTCAATCATGTATTATTCTGGTAAATATCTTTGCATTTACTTGCATGACTACTATGGAGTTTTCTTTGTTTTCTTATTAATCTTTACTACAATCTCATCTTCATTTGGGACTGTTTCAGAATTTTGGTTTAGGGTAGCTACTACTTAAAATTCCAATATTTTAAAAATTAGACGCTAAATTAATTAGACAGTATTAGGCATCTAATAAATAATACTCGCTAAAAGGACTAACGAAGCATTTACGACTTTGGTTTATTAAGTCATGAAACTACGTCGTACGTATAATTTATAGACTTCGCATTGATGTCCTAAATACGTGCCAATCATTTAAAATGCAGGACGTGCATCATCAGGATAACACTAAAGTTTATAATTTTATATGTTAAACAATAAACAGATACTTTGCGTAAAATGACAGTAAATACTGTCCTTTATCGAGATGAAAACAAATTTTTCTATCCTTCGGGAACAGTTTTCATTCTCTGTATAAAAGGTATCATGTTCTTTTCTGTACCCCTGGCAGTACTAAATTTCATGACGATGAACAAAATCATAGAATTTAGCACACTTTTTGGCTCTAAGGATAAAAAGATAGAAGCAATCAACTGTATTGATGTTAATTTATTATCCTGTAATACGAGGGTGGATTGATAAGTTTCCGGCCTGACCAAGAAAAACAAGGTTTTTAAAAATTTTTTTTTTTTATTTCTCAACATCATCTCCTCCAAGGCTGATACATTTCTCATAGCGGTGTTCCAGTCTATTAATGCCATCTCTATAGACTGATTCGTCAAGCTCCTCAAAATAACCATTTACAGCTTCGATTACTTCTTCATTGTCCGCAAATCTCTTAC